CTATAGTATAGCGGTATAAAGCACTTGACAATTTAACTCTCGAATACTGGGTTCGAGTAAAACTAATACCAAAAAAATTAATAATAAAAAATAAAAAAATAATTTTTTTTTTTTAAAATTAAATTTTAAAGTATTATATAGAATAGTTTTCAGGAATGATAATAGATGTATTTTTTTCAAGAATGTCCAAACTTTACTAACATGCCATTTTTTTATAGCATCACAGTTGAACTTGCATTAATCAACGCGTATCATTTGACATACTTTTATTATATAACGTAACGCGTAAGAATCCTATAAACCTTTTTTGCTGAAACTTTTCCACTACTATTCTCTTATTTTTTTTTTTATTTTTTAAAAAAAAAAAAAAATTTTTTTAGTCAGTTGGTCTCGAATATAAATAAAAATAAGCTCTATTAAGTATTAGTGACATAAAAAGGTTGAGAACGAGATGTTATTTATATTTCAGATATCAAACTATGTTATAAAGAGAACTTTTACAAATAGGGTGAGTTTTATTAGGTTTTTACTTGCTTTTGGTGAAGCTTCGACGAAAGGTTATTTTCACGTTCTTACAAGATTATGTTTACATTCTGAAAATTCCAGATTACAACCTTGATTTGCAATGAACTGTGATGGTAGCGGGTAACATGTGTTAGGGTATGACTCTGGAGAAAAGTTAACACATCCAAGGAAGGTATACTGGTATTATCATGTAAGTATACTTACTTAGTTATCATCATCTTGTCATTTTAGCAGCAGGGTGGTCTGAATATTGTTAAGAAAAAGGATACCATCCAGGCCATCAAAGCACAATAAGACTACATTGTGTCTTACAAATGAAATTACTTTCATTTAAAATCACGAGAGGGGTTTCTTTAGTGATGTGGTGGCATAGCTGTGTTTGAAGGGTGACCCTCCTATTTCCAGTTTCTTTTATATAAGACATTCTAATCATGTTCGTCCCCTTTCTCAGATAATGTAGGAGTCGATGAAATTAATGAGGTATGTATCATGATTACTGGACTAGGAGCATATTATCTACCATCTAACGTAATACTCAACATCAGATAAATCCTTAAAAGATAGAGTTGAGCTTGCACTTTAGGCATGATCATTTGGTAAAGTTGCATATAGGCTTCTTGGTCATAGGATGTGCAGTCATTGGTAAAATTACAGTACATATGGGCTTCTTAGCTTAAAGTAGTTAACTACTAAAATGTAAGTTAATCAAAAAACATTTGCTTCTTTTAATATAAACTAAATTCAGTTGAATTTACTTTAACAATACTTTCTAATAAAGCTACTATAGAAGAATTTATCAATAGATTAAGGTCGAGTTGTATGTGGTATTAATTTTGCGGAAGGTTTCTTTGGATGAGAAGTTTGGACAAACAATTTAGGAAGTAAACAATAGATGTAAAGCAACAAAAATTTGAATTTTTTTATGTTCCTAGAATTTATTATTTTGATTTTGATATCTTATTAATATATATATCACCTAACCCTTTATTTTATTTATTTAAACTATAGAAACGGACGATTTCAATCATGTTAACATTACCGACAACAAAATGAAGGACTTTTCACATCCAAGATTCAAAATTTAAGGTAGATGCGAGAAAAGTCCATTTTCTGATATAAGTAAAACTGATAATGGGAAAGTGTTATGTAAATAATATCCTATAAAATCCAGAGCATTTTGAAGTGGTCAATTGGTTCTGACTGATCTTCCTTAGTGAGTAGTTAACCAATTCTTTTTATTTTTTATTTCACAGTAATGGACGATTCTGAATATTTTCTGATCACTTTTACGTTAACGCTACTTACAAATGAAACGATGATAATATTACGTTACTTAGAATTAATTAGATAGCTTTTAAAGACGCGTTGCCGAAAAAAAACCAAAGTTTTTTTTAAAATTTATTTTATTGTAAAAATTTTTGATCAATCGGTAACTAGTTTATGTTCAATAAAAACTATGCATATTGTCTATCATTTAATTTATTCTCACCTTTCTCATTTCTTTAAATGATGTTATAAGTGACAAACGCAAACCTCTTGCACCAATCACAAATAACATGAACATTAATAAGCTTCATAAATAAATCAAACAAAGCATCTGGATCTTATTCTCATTTACATTTGAATACTACACCTCGTCCTAATAATTCTAATAATACACCTCTCTCTATACTTCATTCTAATAATACACGTACGAGGTCCAATGATGATGATAATGTTGTTTTTCATTCGAATACACCAAACATATTTCGTTCGAATACACCTTTTTTACTAATGATAATGATACATTTTTGACATTTTGAACTTCATATAATATGGAACCCACATTTCTAGCATCATTTCACAATATGATAAATATTCACCAAATATGTTCGTGATTATGTGCAAACTCAGATATATTACTACTTGCTTATAATATGCATCTATCAATGCAAACATCAGTTGCGAACGTATTCAACTCCATTTTGTCAAACTTTAATTCATCAGCATTAGTAACTGATGTATTACAAATGCCAAAACAAAAAGATAAAGTAAATATAACAATGATTTATTTTATCATTAGCTTTTGTTACTAACTGCCAAATAACCTATATAATTAAGAAGAAAGCTAACCAAGATTTTCTGGAAGAACTAAAGTGTCTGTTCCTTCGGGTTCAAAATCCTAAGAAGAGCGCTTTTGAAGATTTGATACGGCAAATCTTTAATTGCAATCTTAATTCGTTCGAAAGAATCAATTTGTTACGTATAGCCAATAGAAGTTTTAATGATTTTCACAATAAATTTCTTGATAATCTTGAGGAAACGGTTAATGTATTTAAAGAAAAAAGGACTCAGTAATCATTTCATTGTAATTTCTTTATTTCCAGTATATCGATTATTTTTACTAAATTATTTCTATTTATTTATAAAGAAAATAGAAATACAATTCGTCTTTTGGAAGAAAGTGAGATAACTTTGCTCATCAATGAAACTTTAATAATAAACATCTTACAAAGATGGTTAAACGTGATGAACATGACCAAATTAAAGGCTTAAAAATCCTTGCATACTTTACAAAGATTCATTCGAAGAACATTTTTTATAAATTATAATTCAAGAGATACTGATGCAATGAAATCTTTAGATAATTTAACAAGAAACATGGCAGTTTCATCTTGAGGCAGAAATATTACTAACAACTTACAATTGTGAAACATGAGGTATTCTATTTATTACTTATATCGATATATTCTTTATAACTTTAATTTATCAATAAAGTTTATTTTTGTTATATATTACATTAATACTTAACGAACGCCTCTCCTTCTCTTCTTTAATATAACAGTATTGTTTTATTATGAATAATTATACTAAAAAATTCTACAACAGGCGGTTTGATTTTAATTATATAACGATTTTTTCCTATAACTGTATTCACTGCTAATGCATTCTTTATTAATAAAAATATAATACAAATTTATTTTTATTGTAATATAGTGTTTATTTTTATTATATAATGTAGCGTTTATTTTTACAACAATGGAATTTTATTACAATGGAAATTTTATTAGATTTTTTTATTACAATTATAATTTTTATTATGCAATTTTTATTTAATAAAATATAACAAAAACAAAAAAAAACAACTTAAAAACCAACGACTTGAGAACGTGATGGATTCATCGTCAAATGATATCTAATATAACAAAAAAATATCTTAAGTTAATTTTTTCAGTTAACTTGCGATGATATTTACCACCTATTTAAGACCATTATTTTAATATGCTACGATATGTTTTCGATCATTTTACGGAATTATCTGATAATACGTTATCATGTGTTTGATACTAAATTGTTGTGATTTAGTGGCAATCATTTAACCATATGATAACAAATCACAGATTTCTGCAAAGAAAAGGAATTCACACTCTTAAATCTTTATTTTTTGATCCAATCTTAATTTTAACTAGGGGATATTCTTTTAAATCTAACTCCTCATTGTCAGGATTTTCTTTTTTAAATTTCTGATATTTTTCAAATAATTTTCATTTTATATAACAAATTTTTTTTCTATTTGAAGCTTTTAATTGTTTTTATTTTGTTGTTGCTGCTGCTACTGCTAATGCTGATGATAGTAGTGGTGATGATGAGGGAGTTGCTTTTTTTAACTATCCTCTACAAACTCAAATTCTTCTGCATATTTCAGTAATAATTCATTTAATTTATTTTAAAAAAAAGAAATGAATTTTTACTCTTCCTCTTGATATTTTTTTGTACAAGAGTAAGAAATATGTGTTGAAAGTTTATTGAAAATATCATAAACCACCTGATAAGTTTTTTGAATATATCCATTATATTCAAACAAAACTATTTTATGTAGCTTATATTTATGCAATTGATCTTTAGATATGATTAATATTGATTGTAAAAATTGAGGTGATATAATTTCTTCAATATATTCTGTAATTTTTTTGGTTAAGTCTTCCAAATTTCCTATTATTGCTAATGATAGTTTTGATAGTGGTGGTTGTGTTGCTATTGTTACTGCTATTAATTCTACGATTCTTTCTTCTAAATCCTTAATCTTAAAACTAAAGTTTTTTAAATTCTTCAAAATATCCAAGTTGACAACTCCATCAATATCATTTAGTATTGGTGAAATAAAATCTGCTTCACTTCTAATACAATTATTTATTGACGCTAATTTATAATTTTGAAAATCTTCATCAGATAAATGTCATGTATCTCCTTATGTAAATAGATTTCTACACAACCTTCTTGATTCTTTAATCAAATTTTCAGATAAGGTATTCTAATTATTAAAGATGTTAATTATTAGTTAAATAT